TTATTTCTGTCAAAGTGAAAACACTTTGACAGAGTTTGGTCTCGTACTTATTATCTTTCCCTCTCATTCCTCGGTGAGTGTTAGGCACCTTGTAAAAAACCCACTTCTTCAGATGCATGGAGACTGCATGCATGCATCTGAAGAAGTGGGTTTTTTACTCACGAAAGCTTATGCCCAAATAAATCTGTTAGTCTTTAAGGTGCCGCCAGACTCCTTGTTGTTTTTAACATCTTGTTTGTTTTTTTGAGAGCAGCTGCCTGTGAGCAGAGGTCTTCACTGAGCTGTCTACAATAATGCTTAGGTCTTTTCTTAAGTTGATACAGTTAATTTAGAACACTGTAAGGTTAAAATAATTTAAAATTTTTCCCACCTATGTCCATTACTTTGCATTTATTGACGCTGATTTTATTTGCCCATGCTATCCATTCACCTAGCTTACTTAGGTCTCTCTGAAGTTCCTCAACCTGGGGAGCATCCCTTCACCTCATACCCCATTTGAGTACTGGACTATGCCCAGGACTCCAGACTTCAAAATCATGTCATGGTCTTCTGCCAGTTCTTCCTTGGCCTTCCTCACTTTCTCTTTCCTTCCTTAGGCACCCAATTCAATGCTTGCTGAGTATGTCTCCCATCTTCCTTATGGTGTACATGTCCCAACCACTTGAGTGTTCTTTCTTTGATATTTTCTAACATATCCTGCCCTGCTAGACCCCTTACTCTCACATCAATTAATTAGGGTGAGTGTGTGTGTGATTACCAGTCCTCCCATCCAGGTGCTTCACACATCTTTTAGCCTTGTCAATCTGAGAAGGTCTGGCAGCTCCCCACAATGCCTTCTCTGCAGCATTTTGAACCAGCGGACAGTTATCCCCAGGGAAAGGTTCATGATCTGTCCTAAATCTCTATGCCCTTTATGAAGTCCACCCACTAACAAAATCCAAATCATTTTTACCCAGGTGTACAAAGAGTGTACCCAGCTGGTCCCAGAGCATGCCCCTCTTGCCATGCCAACTCAGATTTGCCTCATGACCAAGCCTAGCTATGAACGTCCATGGGAATTGGCTGCACACCCACAGGCCTAAGATGCAGATGTCCCTGCTTCTGCCCTATTTTCCCTTCCGGCACCTCACAGCTCACTAGTGGTGGGGAGAGCACAGCCAGCCACCTTGCCCCACCTGCCTGGGTGATTCCATATTGTAGCTACCACACTGGACTGCCCCCACCTCCAATCACATTTTAAAATGTAAAACTGTCAAACATGGCATTGGCACACCCCAGCAATATTTTTGCCAACAATGGGTTAACATAATGGATTACAAATTTGGTTGAAGGAATTGATGGCCCCTGGATTCGCAAACAATTTTATATTTCATGAGATACAGAAGAGAAATAAGAGAGATCCCTCTCAGTGGAGATGCTCCTTATAAAGACACTCCAATGCAATGTTATCAGTTTTCATAATGTGAAAAGAGAGAACTTACCAAAAGATCAATAAAAATGGCTACAAGCGGGATTCAGAAATCAATGTAACTCATCTAAGGGTGACATATGCTCCACTTTTGTAGTAAGCAAATAAAAATTAAAGGTGAAGAGTTAACATCCACAAATATTGACTACAAAACTGAGCCACGTAAGTTATGCATAATGCCACTCAGCCATGAAAAAGCAATGCTTAAAAGTTTGTAACCAGCAAACTATTTTTTTCTGACAATATATTTTAAAACCATATATGTGTGAACCAAAAACTGGAACAACAACAAAAAGACCATTGGAGTCTCCAAACTTTAAGCAAGGCACGTCCCTAGGAGTAATTTGTAGCTAAGTTTGTCTTCACAAAGGATGTCTCCCACTTCTACAGTGTCATAAATATACAGCTAAGGGTAGCATAAAATCCCTCCTTACCTGTAAAGGGTTAAGAAGCTCAGATAACCTGGTTGGCATCTGACCAGAAGGACCAATGGGGAAAGAAGATACTTTCAAATCTGGGAGGGAGAGGCTTTGTTTGGTGCTCTGTGTGTGTTCTCCCTGGAGACAAAGGGAGAGACCAAGCAAGTAATCCAGCTCCCACCGAAATGATACATCTAATATTACAGAAATAGTAAGTAATAGCAAGGAAATGCATTAGAGTATCTTTTGTTTTAGCTTGTGAATTTTTCCTGTGCTAAGAGAGAGGTTTATCCCTGTTTTTGTAACTTTAAAGTTTTGCCTGGAGGGGAAATCCTCTGAGTTTTGAATCTTGTTGTTACCCTGTAAAGTTATTTTCCATCCTGATTTTACAGAGGTGATTCTTTTATCTTTTTTTAAATAAATTCTTCTTTTAAGAACCTGATTGATTTTTCATTGTTCTTAAGATCCAAGGGGTTGGGTCTGTGTTCAACTGTACCAATTGGTGAGGATATTATTCTCAAGCCTTCCCCAGGAAAGGGGGTGTAGGGCTTGGGGGAATATTTTGGGGGAATAGAACTCCAAGTGGTCCCGTCCCTGATTCTTTGTCTAAATCACTTGGTGGTGGCAGCATACTGTTCAAGGACAAGGTGGAATTTGTGCCTTGGGAAAGTTTTTAACCTAAGCTGGTAAAAATAAGCTTAGGGGGGTCTTTCATGCGGGTCCCCACATCTGTACCCCAGAGTTCAGATTGGGGAAGGAACCCTGACACACACCCACATGCTTATCTCCAGGAAGAGGTTGAAGGTCCTCAGCACTGTTTGCCCCCAGGATGCTGTAGATCTTGTTGTCTTACCTCCCATCTTGGCATGGGCAAGAAAGGGAGAATGAGCACCTCTGTCCTTTCCTATTATTGATTTGTATTCAGTAGCACCTAGCAGCTCCAGACAGGAACCGGGTCCCTATTGTGTTAGGTGCTGTACAAACACAAGCCCTGCCCCAAAGAACTTATAATTTAAGTAGTTCCTGGGCAAAGGTGTGTAAAGTTTAGGTGTACATGCAAATTGATGTTCTTTTTAAAACAATAGGAACATTCAAACTGAACTAGTAATCAGTGCCTATCTATATTGTCTATATTCCAATTTGCACCATTTTAACTTCAAATACGTTTAAAAACGATCAGTCCAAAACTCTCTATGGACAGTTTTCATTTGATTTAAACCTGGTTTAAATTATATTGACTCATTTTAACTTGCATCATTAATCTTATTTAAATCTGGTTTGTATTATAGAAATGTAGGGTTGGAAGGGTGTGATGCAGCAGGGAGTGGGGAGTATTGACCTGGGAATGTTGCAGGGGAGTTTTACTGGGACTGTGTGTGGGATGGGAGACTTTCCTTGAGGGAAGATACCTGAGTATGTAACATGAGAGCCAGGAGGGGGATTGGGGCCAGGTGACACCTTCTACCCGGGAAACTGGACAAAGGCTGGAGGAGGAGCCAGGGGGAGGCTGGGTGAGATGACTGGAGGTGGCTGGGGAAACGGAGGGAACCCCAGGACTGGGGTCTAAGCTCCCTGCCCCCCAGAAGGACTTGACTGAGGGGTCCTGGTTGTACCTATAAGCTCTGTTTTTGACTGTGTTCCTGTCATCCAATAAACCTTCTGTTTTACTGGCTGGCTGAGTCTCACAGTGAATCGCAGGAAGTGGGGAGTGCAGGGCCCTGACTCCCCTCCAACTCCGTGATAAAGGGACCTCGAGAAGTCATCTAGTCCAGCCCCCTGCACTGAGGCAGGACCAAGTATACCTGGACCATCAATATAAGCTAGGTATAAACTGATTTAAAAGTGTCCACACAAGATTGTGCACCGTTTTAACCAAACTGGTTTTAAAATCAAAGGTTTGGTGAAACAGGTACAACTTTCAATATAGCCAGGCTCAGACTTCTGGATTGCTTTATCTCAGTTGAGCATATCCCTTGGTAGGAATAGGGAAAATGCTGTTGGACTAGAGCAGAAGGATGGAGGTCTGGAGGAGGTGGGTTCCAGTTGACTTGGGCAGCAGGACTTTTCTGTCTTGGCATCCTCCCTCCTTATGTGCAGCAGGCTTTATGCCTGTAGCATTTGCAGGCACCATGAGTCTGTCTGCTGACAGCGGAGGGCTAAGAGATGGATTGTGGGGCTTACTCTGGCCCTGAGATAACGGGTAAAATAGAGGTCAACTGCCTGTGCACGACAATGATTACAGTACAAAGTTCATGTGGAAGGGATGCCACCTACCACGTTTTATTCATGGTAAGCAGCCAGACATTTGTATTGCTGCATGAAATTAACGCTGTAATATGGGGTAATGAGCATCCTGTATTGAGTTGATATAGGACTCAGGATAACATGCAAGTAGAGGTGTCCTTTAATAAGAGTCAGGGCCCTGTATCCCTTCACTCCCCCCAAGGAGCAGCCATGCAACTCTAACCTCAACCTCCCCTGTTTCCCCACCAGGAGACTATCTCCCTCCCTTCACCATACATCCCCCCTCAGCACTTGCTTGTCCCCAGGTAGAACCCATAGCATCTAGCAGCCCCCTTCTATTTCCTCCTGGTTGTCTCGAAGAAACACCCCACACCACCAATCTCTGCTTGGCCCCAGCCTTAGAGCTCAAATGACCCTTCCTGGGCTCCAAGAACTGGCACCTCCCTAGCCCGCATCCCTTCTGCAACCCCATAGTCCCCTGAATGGTGCTGGCCCCCTTCCTGCCCCTTTTGCAACCCCTTAGTCCCTTGGACGGTGCTGGCTCCCTTGCAACCCCCTAGTCCTCTGGATGGTGCTCGAGACCCTCCTCCCTGGGGTACCTCCTTCCCTGCCCGCAGGGAGCATTTACCCAGAGGATGCTGTAGCACCCCACGCCGCTATGTCCTTTCGGGGCGCAGGCTAGAGAGAGCAGCTCCGCTCCGCGCTACCTGCCCCGGGGCCGGGAGCTGGGGCACTCCCCCTCCCTCCTTTGTTCTGCCTGGCTCCGCCTCCTCCCAGCGCTGCCGGCTGATTGGGCAGCGGAGCCGCCAGTCTGGGCCGGCTCTGGCATGTGTGAATGATACTCCCCGGGCGTGCGGGGCTAGCTCGCGGCGGCTGCCTCCTCCTTTCCCCCGTCCTGGAGTGGAGCCGCTGCTCCCTGCCCGCCCTCGCCCCATTGTTGCGCCGGGTCTCGGGGTGGGCAGGCGCCCGGCTTTGTGCGGAGAACTGCTGCAGGACAAGGCTCGAGGTAGGAAATGTCTCTCTGCTGCTTGAACTCTCGCTCCGCTGCCCCTTTCCCGGCTCCCTGTTTGCAAACCTCCCCCAGCCCGCCCCAATGCCAAGGTAGAAACGGCCCGCTGGGCTCGGCCGAGGGGGCTCTGAACTGGGAAAGGGGCTTTCTCTGGCCAGGCTCTGATCCCCCCGGGCAGCCCCTGCAAACAGCCGGGGGCTGCAAGTTCTTTGGAAAGGACCCAGCACAGAGACAAAAAAAAACCCCTCTCTGTTTTGGCTGGGAGAAGCACATGGAAAAAGCGGTGATGGAGCCAGAGCATCAGGCGGCAGCAGTTCAGCCAGTTACTGTTTTCCCCCTTGCAAGATCTCTGGTGGTTGGGTTCCCCCACCCCCGACTCCGTTGCGCTGTTACATGATGCAACCCTTGCGTAGGGGTTGAAAGAGCGAAAATCTGGGTTGAGCTCTTCACAGATTATGCCATCTGGTTGTGATCCTTGTGACTCCAATCTCCAGGGCAAGGCACCAGCCCGTCTGACGGGCTGCCCCAACTCCGAGAGGCTGCTGCTTTGTACCGTAGAGGGTTTCATTATTTCCCCCCACCTTTGGGGACAATCCACCCCGATTTTGTCATTTCAACCCGTTTCAGCACGGAGGGGGAGGGGGGGAATTGCATCATGTTACAGTCCCGGAGTCAGTAAGGGCGAAGGCAAAAAGAACCATCTTTCCAGATCTATCCCCACTGGCTTCACCAATATATGACCCCCTCCTTTGTATTTCCTGTTTAACGGAGAGGTTAAAACTAAAAAGCAGCCGTGTGATTGGTAGAAAGATGTTCAGTTCACAGCGACGTATTTTGATTTCTTCCACTGGGATTTTTTTTTAATTCAATTTTTACTTTGTTGGTTCTGCTTGGAGATAGGTGAAATTTACCCAAGATTTAGCCCGTTGAAAAATGAATAGTGAGGCAACAGAGAGAGATGTTTGGAGCCAGGGAAATTGAGCACATTCTCTAGTTTGTGTACAGAGTTCAAAGACTTCCAATAAGCTCCATTGATCTTAAGAAAGGAAGGGATTCACCTGCCTGGGGGGTAGTATGGAGGAATATACATGTGTCTCAGAGAAGAATCACCATCTTTCCCTTCCATGGATGTTAGGGATGGAAAAGACTTTAGTTTTCCAGTCTCTCCCATTTGTTTCATCAGTGTTTATTCCTCACACTTAATAGACTTTTAGTTAGTTTTTCACGCTTGGACCATGGATGATGGTTTCAAGTAAGATCAGAATTATAAAATAATGAAGCAGACCCCATATGCAGAGAGATCCCTTCAAAAAACATTGTGTTGTAAACTTGTGGGCATGCCAGCCTCATGTCTTCTAAAGATTTCTGTTGATATCACTCTTTGTTTTGCTCCATGAAAGAAAACTATATTCTGATAGCATGGATCAACTCTACTGCTTATAAGAACAGGAGTACTTGTGGCACCTTAGAGATTAACAAATTTATTAGAGCATAAGCTTTCGTGGG